CCTCCCTCTTTCTCCTTCTTTCCTCCTTCCCTCCCCTTTTCTTCCTTCCTTCCTTCTTTCCTTCCTTCCCTCCCTCCCTCCTTCCTTTCCTTTCTTAGTTCAATGTCTTGCAGAAACTAGGAAATCACATTTGGAATAATGAATAACAAACTTCAATCATTGGAGTGAGTTTTACTACCACCTTCCCCAAAGCCAAAATAAAGCTGTTACAGAGTTCTTTGGGAAAATGGTCCAATGAAACAGTAGGCTCCTTTAAACCCACTTTTACACGCGCACACGCACACACACACACACACACACCGGGAGGGAGGGAGAGAGAGGGGGGAGGGAGGGAGAAAGGGAGGGAGAGAGGGGGATGGGGAGAGGGAGGGAAGAAGAGAGAGTGGGGGAGGGAGGGGAGAGCGAGAGAGACACAGAGAGAGCGCTTTGGTTGGATATATATTGTTCACCGTAGAGAACACCAGCTCATATTCTGGGCTAAAAATAAAGCATTTGGTTCTCCAGCCACGCTTTTAATGCGCGTAATTTCTTTTGATGACCAAATGTAGGGCTTGAATTCCCATTCACTCTGTGCGCGGCATGCACAGCTTTACCCCGGAGCGCATCGATCGCACTGCACGTTGCAAATGAACTCATCTTTGCCCTGGCCACCATGAAAGTTGCACCAGCAATTTTTTTTTTAATTTTCATTTGAAACCCTCTCTTCTTTATTCAGTTATCTATTTAGCTGATGGATATGGCTGCCATCTGGACGATGGACTGCATCAAGCAAAGCACCGTCCTTGTGGTCTTCTTGTCGTCACGAAGCGGAAGTGGTCTGTAGAGATTCTCAGTCCTCCAGGCCTTGGTTGTCCCAAAGGTGTTTTTTTTTTTTTCAAGAGGCCACTGGAGTTTCTTTGTTTTTATTTTGAAGATGTTTTGCTTCTCCTCCAAGGAGCTTCTTCAGCTCTGACTGGATGATGGGGAATGGAAGGATTTATATTCCTTGCAGACAGCTGGTCATTTGCATCCTTTGAGAGGGTCGTTGAGGCCTCTTGGAGGTTTGTCTGTGTCCTCAGGATCATCTGGTTCCTGTAGTCTGCTATTTTTTCCTCCAATCCTACTCCCACACCATTCAAAGAGTGTTCATCCCAAATTGTATAGCGAAAACTCCGTAGAGATTCTCAGCCATCCAGGTGATGGTTGTCCCAAAGGTGTTTTTTTCAAGAGGCCACTGGACTTCCTTGTGTTTTTTTTTCTTTGAAGTCATTTTGCTTCTTATCCAAGAAGCTTCTTCAACTCTCACAGGATATTGGGGAATGGTAGTAGAAGCGGTGTTTGCACTTCCCAGGCACCCATCCTTGGGAGTCTCTCGGTGGGTTCCCATCTAATTTTTAAGCAAGTCTAATGCAGGTTTCTTTTGTGTCAACAGAGAAGGATAAAATCAGACTTGGTATAGTCTGTGCTTGGTGGTTTGCCTGCATACGTTTCATTACCCCATTAGGGAATATCATCAGTACGAAGGGGTGTGGGGTTTGCTTGCTGTTTTATATACAGTAGTTTGTTTTACCCATTTTGGTGGTTGGTATGGATTTCCTTTTCTTTGATTAGGGTAAGATTTCCTTCTTGATTGTTTGTCTGGGATCAATCCCTGCTTATCTAAGCTGTAGACTGCTGGAGAGAGGATGCGTTCTGATCTTTTTGCTTCCTCGCTTTCCATCCTTCCCGGGTCAGTTAAATGAGGACCCAGATGGTTGCAGGTTCATACGCTGACTCCACAAACCAATTAGAGAATGCTATAAAGCACTATGACATGGATATACGTCTGAGTCCTATTGCCAGTATTTCATTTGAACGATGCATAAATGTAATTTACTTCTATGTGCCTGTTGATGGCTAACGTTTCTGAATGCAAAGCTTCCAGGAATTCTCTAGCCCAGGTGTAGCTTGGCCTAGAACGCTCTAGGGGGAAACTATGGTTCAGTCTGTCCACGTGTTGTGTGATTAAGGCAGTTTCATCACTTCTTCTGATTGCTAGTTGGTGTTCATGGATGCGCTCCGCCAATTCTTCTGCTTGTCTGTCCTACCTAGTGGGGGTCAGACTACTGACCCCCGTGCACCTAAAAAGTATGGCTAGCATAAGCACAACATTGCTGTGTTTGGGCACTGACCCTTTACAGCCAACAAAGCCTAGTAGTTAAAAAAAAAAGAAGGGGGGGGTCTTTAACTTGCTGGCCTAATTCGTCTTCATCTGTTGGACTTGTTATATAAGAAGAAGAGAAGGAAGAAGAGAGGGAGAGAGAAGGGAGGAGGGAAGGTGAGAGAGGGAAAGAGGGAGGGAGAGGGAGAGAGAGAAAGAAAGAGACAGGGAGAGAAAGAGAGAGTAAGAAGGGAGGGAGAGGGAGGGAGAGAGAAAGAAGGAGGGAGGGAGAGAGGGAGAGAGAAAGACAGAAAGAAAGAGAGAAGGAGAGAGAGAAAGAAGGAGAGAGAGGGGGAAGGAAGGAAAGAGAGAGGGGGAAGGAAAGAAAGAGAGAGGGGGCGGGGAAAGAAAGGAGAGAAAGAGAGAGGGAGGGAAAGAGAGGGGGAGGGAGAGAGGAGAGAAAGATGGAAGGAGGTAAGAAGGGAAGAAGAGAGGAAGGGAGGAAGAGGAGAGAGAGGGGGAAGAGAGAGAGAGAGGGATCCTAAGCATAACTGATTATGCCTCTCCATATTTATTTCAAAGGTAAAGCTTAGGGCATTTTGTAAGACCTTCAACTGCATTAAGAGCTTCACACTCCTGATTTCTATAACTATGGATTAGCTCCTTTGGCCTGGTTCCTCTTTGCTTTTATTAAAATAGCCATTGTGCTGGTGGCAAAAAAGGAGACACACTTTTTTTTTGATAAATGTCTGATATAGGAGTTAATTAACTCATAGCTTCAACACCAGCCTTCTCAGTTGTGTTCCAGCTTTCCACCCACCCATTTCCCATGTGTTGCTTTGTCCTGTGGGCCTAGATTGTGCTAACTGTGTCCAACACACACACACACACACATACACACACACACACACACACACACAGAGAGAGAGAGAGAGAGAGAGAGAGAGAGAGAGAGAGAGAGAGAGAGAGAGAGAGATACATTCACTGCCTTGAGTAATTTGTAGAAATAATAAAGGAGGGATACAACTAAATGAAACACACAAGTGTCCTTTGGAAGGAGCATGTTCTACTTCTTCAGGAAACGTTTGAGCCCAAATTCCAGCCTTTGGGAATTGGATTCCAAGGGACAATCGAGAGTTCTTCATCGCTGACCTTTTTAGCAGTGTACAAAAGGTAACTGGACTTTCTTGTTTTTCTCTGAAGATGTTTCACTTCTCATCCAAGGAGCTTCTCCAGTTCTGACTGGACGGTGGAGAATGCAAAGGGTTTATACTGGTTATTTGCCTCCTTTTAGAGGGTTGTTGAGGCCACACGGAGGTTTATCTGTGTCCTCAGGGTCACCTGAGTGGTGTTCCTGGTTCCTGCAATTTATTCCTCTGGAAATCCATTCCTACTCCCACACCATTCAAAGAGGGTTCATGCCCAATTGTATAGCCAAAAAGTCTATTGGGATTCTCGGTCATTCAGGTCATGGTTGTCCCAAAGGTGCTTTTTCAGGAGGCAACAGGACTTTCTTGTTTTTCCCCCCCACATCATCCAGTCAGAGCTGAAGAAGCTTCTTGGATGAGATGCAAAACATCTTCAGAGAAAAAACAAGAAATTCCAGTTGCCTTCTAAAACAAGCAACCTTGGGACAGCCATGATGACCTGGATGATTGAGAATCTCTGCAGACTTTTCAGCATGGCATTCCTTTGGGTTTCTCCCTCCTTTAATTGTCCTCTAAGCCATCCGCCCTTCAAAGTTCTGTGCGTCTACAACACCAACTGGAAATACGACGTCTTTCATGGCACAATCTGCATTATTTTCTGACTTCAAATCAGATCCAAGGGAGCAAGACTTTGGTAGGTTAGGAAAAAGAGAAGCTTGGGGCTACTCGGTGAGAAATAATAAATAAATAATACACCAAGCTCATGGACTCAAACTCATCATCTCCCAAAGTCACCCGGTTGGCTTTCTTGCCTTAAGGCTAGACTAGAACTCACGCTTTCCCATTTTATACCTGGTATATTAATCCCTAGATCAAGCTGGCTTTGGCATAGTGAGACAGGTTAGATGTACGACTTGTTAGGGTGGTTTGTGTGTTTTGGACAGGGTTCTTGGGGAAACGGGGGAAAAAAGTTTTCAAGGAGCCAGGGAAAAAGAGAGGAAAAACAGAAAGCTCTCGGGCAGCGTAGGACCAAATATTATCATTCCAAGAAGAGTCTGTCAACTCGAAAAGATTTCTCTGGTCTTTTAGAGTTGACAGAAGAAAGCGGGTGGGGGGAGTAGTGCATTCCTTAAATGCTTCCTAGATAATTGCTAGGCAGCCGAAGCTTCTGGTGTGCAAGATTATTACTGGAGAGCATGATTGATGACTCTTGGCTAGGGATGTGTCCCATTGGAGAATATAATTCTAACTGGAGAGCCTGATGGATGACTCTTGGCTATGGATGTGTCCCATTGGAGAATATAATTCTAACTGGAGAGCCTGATGCATGACTCTTGGCTAGGGATGTGTCCCATTGGAGAATATAATTCTAACTGGAGAGCCTGATGGATGACCCTTGGCTAGGGATGTGTCCCATTGGAGAATATACATCCAGGCGGTGGTGGGGGAAGACCAGAGTCAAGGGGGAAATGAATGATATGTCTCAGAGTCGGCAGCACCCAGGTAGCGCTGGCATGTTTCACTCCTAATAAATCTTCTTTAAACTTTGAGAGATGCGGCTAGAGACTCATGATTCAAATGGGGGTGGATGCTGGAGCCCTGACAAGTCCTTCTTTAGTGGCATTAATTCAGAGAGATTCTCTGCAGGTATGGACCTGTGCCCGTTAGAACGATTCTTTTCCTTTATGTCACACTTTTATTCCTTTTTCTTTTTGCAACTTTCCTTCCAACAGGGCAAAAGTGAAGAAAGGGGTAAACATCCTGAATGCCAAAATCAGCGAGCTGCGGCAGTGGGACGTGATGCAGGAGGTCAGTAATGGCGGGAAGCATTCGACGATTGCTGTGATGTGTCACAGAATCAAGGCGAATTCACGCAGCAGGTGAGTGCAGTCTTGGGCCTCAGCCCCTTGAGCGTTCTGGGCCCCCTTTTGGTTTTGATCCAAACAGGAAGGACCCCTTCACCGAGGGGAAGTCAACCCCCTCGCTGGTTGCAGTAATATAATGGAGAGGGAAGGAGGGAAGGAGGGAGAAGGAAGAGTGGCATGGAGGGGAGGGGAGGAAAGAGAGGAAGGACAATAAGAAGAGAGGGAAAGTCAAGGAGAAGGAAGGAAGGAAAATGAGAAGAAAGGGAGGGGCAATGAAAAGGAAGGAAGGAAGGAAGGAAGAAAGGATGGAAGGGAAGGAGGGAGGGAGAGCAATGAGAAGAAAGGGAGGGGAGGGAGGAGGGAGGGAGAGAGAGAAGGAAGGAACAAAGGAAGGAAGAGCAATGAAAAGAAAGGGAGGGAGGGCAAGGAAGGAAAAGGGAGAAGAAAGGGAGGGGCAATGAAAAGAAAGGATGGATGGATGGAAGAAAGGAAGGAAGGAAGGATGGATGGATGGATGGAAGAAAGGAAGGAAGGAAGGATGAAAGGAAGGAAGGAAGGAAGGAAGGAAGGAAGGAAGGAAGGAAGGAAGGAATCACTTGTCAATGTGAGCTTTCAAGAATCCATTTTCTTGATTCCCCTTAAGAATCAGGAACCGCTCTAGATGGTCCCTGTACATTCTAACAGAACCTTAATAATGCATAAAGGCAACATAACTAAACGATGATGCATCTGAGCTCTGTCATTTCTCCTCATTTGGCCCATTACAAGGGGAAACAGGGCCCCTTTGTTCAGCTAAGCTGCTTTGTTCTCTGACGAAGAATCCCAGATTCAAAATACATTAGGGCTTTTAAAAGAAATAATTGGCCTTGTTTCTCCTCTCTGATGTTACTCGGATAGGCGATCAGGGGAAAGAAGCATTGGGTCTCTGCAGGCCAAGCGAGATGGTTTGATCTTGTCTCTGCTTGTTCGGAGCCATCTGAGCAGGAAGACCTCCAACCGTCCACCATCCTGTCCAGAAAAAATCGGTCCCGTTTCCCAGTTGCTCTTAGCAATACATTGGCTGGATCACACACAGAGGAAACAAACCTTCATAGCTTAAGATCCTGAAAGAGGCATTTTGCGGTCTAATCCAGTGATGAAATGCCACCAGTTTGGCCCAGTTCAGCCGAACCGGTAGCAAAAATCGCTACTAGTTGGCTGAACCAGTAGTAAAAAAAAACCTCCGATGATCACCCGAGAGAGGAGAAAGAAGAGAATAGTGTAGGATTGGCCCTCCTTTCCTTCCTCCTTCCTGTCTTCCTTCCTTCCTATCCTCCCTTCCTCCTCCCTTTCTTTTCCTTCCTTCCTTCCTTCCTTCCCTTTCCTTCCTTCCTTCCTTCCTTCCTTCCTTCCTTCCTTCCTTCCTTCCTTCCTTCCTTCCTTCCCCCACAAAACAGACTCCCTCAAAAAGCTTCTCCACAGCCCCATCTGCACAGAACAGTTATTTTTATTAAAACTAATTTAATTTGGCAACAGTCTACATTCTGTTAATGGGATCATTCTGCATCGCCACCATCCTCCCAGGTGGGTTTTTTTTTTTTTTTGGCTTCTCATCTTTCTCCTTTTTCCAAAGCGATTTCACAGAATTATTAATTTCAAAACCGGGGACGCAGATCCCCAGATTCCTGCCTCTTGAGATTTTGCATCAGGTTTTTGGCACCATCCTCAGAGTTACAGATTCAAGGGTGCTGAAAAAGAAAGTGGAGGAACTGTAGCTCATCAGCAGATGGAAGAGGAATCCAACAGTAGATTCCCAATGAAGAGCATCTCAGGGCAAGGTCTGACAATCCGGTAGGAGGCATTGGAGGTAGAGGTGGTGTTAAGCCAGGTCTGACAGGTTCTGGAGAACCGATAATGGAAATTTTGAGTAGTTTGGAGAACCAGCAAATCCCACCTCTCACTGGCCCTGCCAAACCCATCTCTTCTCTGCCTCCCGAATCCCAGCTGATCGGCTGGGTCTTCTTTGGTTGCCCTGCACAGGAGAACGGAGCTGGAAAGCAGGTTAGCGGGGTGGGGAGGAAGTGGGGATTTTGAAACATCCTTCCCCTGCCACACCCATCAAGCCACGCCCACAGGACCTGTAATAAAAAAAAATTGAATCCCACCACTGGAGGGAAGAGAGGAAGGAAAGGGGAAGGAAGAGAGGAAGGAAATGAATGGAAGAGAGGAAGGAAAGGGGAAGGAAAAGAGGAACCAAAGGGGAAGGAAGAGAAGAAGGAAGGGGGAAGGAAGAGAGTAATGAAAGGGGAAGAAAGAGAGGAAAGAAAGAAATGGAAGAGAGGAAGGAAAGGGGAAGAAAGAGAGGAACAAAAGGGGAAGAAAGAAAGGAAAGAAGGGAAGGAAGAGGAACAAAAGGGGAAGGAAGAGAGGAAGGAAAGGAAAGGAATGGAAGAGAGGAAGGAAGGGGGAAGGGAGAGAGGAGCAAAGGGGGAAAGGAAGAGAGGAAGGAAAGGGGAAGAGAGGAACAAAGGGAAGGAAGCAGAGGTGGGTATTCAGCCGGTTCGGACCGGTTCTGGAGAACCGGTAGCGGAAATTTTGAATAGTTCTGGAGAACCGGCAAATCCCACCTCTGACTGGTCCCGCCAACTCCATCTCTTCTCTGTCTCCCATTGAGTCCCAGCTGATTGGCTGGGTCTCCTTTGGTTGCCTTGCCCAGGAGAACGGAGCTGGAAAGCAGGTCAGTGGGGTGGGGGAGGGAATGGGGATTTTGCAGTAACCTTCCCCTGCCTCACCCCCCCCCCCCAAGTCACACCCACAGAACCGGTAGTAAAAATATTTGAATCCCACCACTGGCTTGGAGAACTAAATGCCACTGACTTCATCACACAACCTTGAAACAGGGTAAGAGAAATTCTTAACGGTGAAGCACAAACCTCACTGTGACCGCGCTAACTGATCGAGCGGTCTCAGAATTCCAGCTTGGCAGAAAATCCAATTTTGCAAGGTCCCCAACTGACTGCCCTGCTCTTTCGAGAAACTTCCACTATTCTGAGCCAGCCAGAAGCACAAAAACGTCGTGCACCCCCCGATTCTTACCTTGTTCCTTTTGAAAACACAAGGACCCCTCCCGCCAAAAATATCTCTGCCTCCCCTGTTCCACGTATTTCCAGGGGTGGGCGGCTGTGGTCTGCAGGGGTTCAGGAGAGGGATTCTGTGCAGTTTGGGGAACCTGCAAATCCCACTCCGGACTGGTCCCACCCACCCCTTCCCTCCCAGGAGTCCCCATGCGGCCATTTTGTATGCAGTGCAGGGCGCGCATTGGAGGCTGAGGGAGGGTGAAAAACGGGCCTCCCGGAAGTTCGAGAAGGCCAAAAATGGGGCCATTCCAGCTTCCAGAGAGCCTCCAGAGCCCGGGGAGGCCGTTTTCACCCTTCTGGAGGCTCGAGGAAAGCCTCCGGAGTGCGGGGAGGGCAAAAACGCCCCCCCCGCTACCACCATGGTGCAGGAGGCCGACTAGGCCACACCCACTCTGCCCACGCCCACCCAGCAACCAGTCAGAGAACCTGTTGCCAAAAATTTTCAAGCCCACCCTTGCGTATTTCCCCTCCTTTTGCTATCTTCCTCGCCAAGCTTGCGCATCCTGGAGAGGAAACCGTTTTGTGCGGTTTTATTAAAAGGAGAAGAAGATAAAACGATGCGTAACAGAGGTGAGCTCCCGTCCCCTCCCTACCTGCAGGCTCAAAGCACCACGGAAATAAGAACATCTGCTGGAATTCACGAACCGCTGACATCAGCGAGAGAAATCACTGCCTTGGCTTTCGATAATGGCGAGAAGAATAAATCACCCAGGCAATAAAGCTCTGGAGGGGCCAGGGAGGCAAACCCCCCCCCCCCGTCTAACATCTTTAAAAGAAAGTGAATAACAATCCCGTTAGTATTCTTCAGGCTGCAGTTTCCCAAACTTTTCCAGACGATGCACTGTTGACAAATCAATCAATCAATCATAGATAACTTTTAAGCCCGTCAGCGTTCAAAATAGAAGAACAGAGATAATAGAACAGACCTTGGAGGTTTTACGGATTAATAGAGTTGAGAGGGACCTTGGAGGTCATCTAGTTCAACCCCCCCACCCAAGCAGGTGAGAGGTCTCCCTCTTCCATTCCAGACCAGTCTCTTCTTAAAAAACCTCCAGTGTTGGAGCACCCGTAACTTTTGGAGGTGAGCCGTTTCATTGAATAACAGAATAATGGAGTGGGAAGGGACCTTGTAAGTCATCTAGTCCAACCCCCTGCCCAAGCAGGAGACCCTACACCAATTCTGACCGATGGCAGTCCAGTCTCTTCTTGGAAGCCTCCAGGGATGAAGCTCCCACAACTTCCAAGGGCAACTTCTGTTCCATCGGTGGATTGTTCTCACTGTCAGAAAAATTCCTCCTTATTTCTAGGTGGAATCTCTCCTTGTTCAGTTTCCATAGGTCTTCGAGTCCAGCCTGCTCAGGCAGGAAGCCCAATATCGCTCTGGACAAAATGGCTGTCATGTCTCTTCTTGAAAACCTGCAGTGATGGAGCACCCACAACTTCTGAAGATTTCTCCTTAGTTCTCGGTTGGCTCTCTCCTTGATTAGTTTCCAGCCGTACCTAATGGTTCTTACTAGCTGGTGATTCAAAATGGCAAAAGAGATTGGTGCCAACGATAGGGGTGAGTTGCACAACCTTCAAGCATTGCTTCTGCTCAACCATCTTCCAGAATCACCTGGAGGCTTTTTAACACAGGTGGATCATGGCGAGGTCCCACCCTCCTTCCCAGGAATTAGCTTCAATGAAAATCACCTTTCATCGGGCTTGAATTTGGTCTCATCTGTTGGACTTGCCGAGATGGCACAAGGGTTAGAGTGCAGTACTGCAAGCTATTTCTGTTGACTGCCGGCTGCCTGCAATTTGGCAGTTCGAATCTCACCAGGCTCAAGGTTGACTCAGCCTTCCAAACAGGTCGGTAAAATGAGGACCCAGATTGTTGGGGGCAAGAGGCTGACTCTG